GGGAGGGACCCAGCAGCATCTCCCCACCCTGCCCCAGCAGAGTTGGGGGTTTGGGCTGGAATCTGGCAGATTTAGGACCTGCCAAAGGGAAGGAGGTTTTGTGTGGTCCCCAGCCGAGTCTGAAGCTTCTCCTCCTCAAGTGCTCCAGGCTGAATTGGCCACAAACAGGCAAAGCCACAGGGCACAGGCAGGGAGGGCTGGTGCTGTCCCCCTCCCCGGGGCGGGAGGGACCTGGCCAGCTCCATCACTCCTTTGAGGTCCCAATCCTGAACGTGACCCAGACATCCTGGTGGGCGTGGGACTCGGCTGCTTGCTGCAGATGACCAGCAGCCAGCTCGTGGTGAAGGTAAGGCCCCGGTGACACGGGCTGGGCTGGTGGCAGGACCTCCACTGTCACCCCCCGCTGTCACTCCCCATCTCTCCCGGCAGCTGGAGCCCGACAGCCTCCTCGTGTGGATCCTCGCTGGGGCTCTGGGGCTCAGCTTGGTCTTCTCCTTTGTGTCGGTGCCAGCGCAGTGCTTCCAGCTGGGCAAGGCATACGGTGTCTGCCTCATCCTCTACTACCTGGCCTTCCTCTGCGTGGCTCTGCTCACCGAGTTCAGGGTGAGCATCTGACTGGCCCCAGCTGCCGGGCATCCACCCCTGCCTCTGCCTCCAGAGCCCTCGCTGTCCCCTCGCCCTGTCCCTGCTGGGGAGGGGACAAGGGCACCCTGACCCTCACCGCATGCTGGAGGCACCATGTGCCAGCCCAGCCCTCGACCTTCGCAAGCCAGAGTCTGTTAGTCGTGCTTTGGGAAGGGAAAAGGAGCCGTTAGTCATTAGCCACGTCCTCTCCCCGCTCTGTTTAATCTCGTTCAACTCCAAGCAGCTCTAGGCAGGAATGAGGGAAAGACCTTGGCTTCCTCTGGGGACAGGAGCAGAGGAGAGGGTCCAGCCCAGGGTCACGACAGGAGAAGTTTTAGCTCTTCAACCACTTCCCTTTCCCCTCCCTGTCTCTGTCCTGGCTGCTCCAGGATGGGGCCAGGGCCACCCCACCGCCTGGGTGACTCGGGGAAGGGCTGAGCACAAGGCTGTCGCTGCAAAGGATGTGACACGTGCGCGCTGCGGGTTTGGAACAGCAGCCGAGGCAAAGCGGGTTTTAAGGCAAGTAAAGCTAAAGGGGAGAAAAAAAAAAAACCCAACGACAAACCAAGGGAAGCTGGGGTCCCCTGCTTTTTTTTAAGCTGTGTTTTTCAACCTGAGTTTCAGATCCTACTTTTCTCCTCCTCGGGTGGACAGAGCTGTAGGAAAGGACTTGGGTGTTTCCACATGCAGTGCTAGCCTCTGCCCAGACTAGGTTTAGACACTGTAAAAAAAAAAAAAAAAATTTGCAATAAAACCCACAAACCTGACCTTGACGTGTAATACTTGCCATGAGGGTGTTTTCTCCCCCTCTGGGCTACTGTAAGCCTGCCCTTACCTCTGCCCAGCCCTGGTGCCTTT